ATTCTCGTCAACCCATTTGGGTAAAATCTGAGTCGGGAGAACCGATTATGCATACCTAAGGTTTATCGGAACGACAAGTTAGTACTCAAAAGGTTTTGAAACGATAAATATGTATTTTTCGTCATGTTCTGTTAGTGATTTTCGTTTGATAATAGTGAAAAGACTAAAATATTTTTAAAAGTTTAATATTTTAGTTTTTTATAAATTTAAAAGTTTCTAAAAAACTCCATAGGTTTGCTAATTTGACTAAATACCCAATATATAAAATTTTTATAAAATAACAAAAACACCCCTACTACCCGCAGTGCCAGATTCTAGCCACCACCACCGGAATCTGGCCAGAAAATTGTGTTACGACACAGACCCGTCAGATCTATGTCGTAATGCGTCGATATGGCATTTTTCGGCCTCAACGCAAGATCTGGCCTTTTCCGGCCAGATCCTCCACGGATCTGGCCGGAAAATGCCAAATCGACGTGTTACGACACAGATCCGATGGGTCTGTGTCGAAACACAATTTTTCGGTAAGATTCCGACCTCGACGGCCAGATCTGGCCGTAGATTTGGCCAGATCAGCCACCGATCTTGTCGGAAAATACCAGATTTATGCGTTACGACACATATCCGATGGGTCTGTGTCGTAACGTAATTTTTTGGCCAGATTCTGACGGTGGTTGCTAGAATCTAACACTGCGGGTGACGGAGGTGTTTTTGTTATTTTATAAAATTTTTATATATTAGGGTATTTAGCCAAATTAGTAAATCTAGGGAGTTTTTTAAAAATTTTTAAATTTATAAAAAACTAAAATATTTAACTTTCAAGAGTATTTTTATTTTTTACTATTATTAAATAAAAATCACTAATTGAATATGACAGAAGATACTTATTTTTTATTTTAAAACTTTTTGAGTATCAACTTGTCGTTTCGATAAATGTCGTTATGCGTAAGTCGTTCGGCCAATCTGAGTCAAAAGAATAGTGGCAAGCTGAAGGGCTACCACTCTGCCAACATATCTTATCTTGTTAGAATTTTGCTGTATTTATCTTCTACTCTTCTGTTTAGTGTTCACTCGAAGTCTCGAATGGCTTCTAATATTCTCAAACTTCATATACAAACCTTCAAAACTTCAAGTCCTTCATCCCCAGTTCGACAAACCAAAACCCACTTGCCATCTCTACCATTTGCATTAAATCACCATTACCATTCCCATATCTCTTCTCTCCCATCAACTCTCTCTTGCAAACTTCAAGTCCCTGCTCTTTCTCTGCAGTCCTCCTTATCTCTCTCCACCCCACCAACCACCAAAGAAGAAGCCATCCTTCAAGCCAAAACCTGCCTCTCAACTACCCTAGAAAAGCCTCTCAACAACCCCAAGCTTGCCGGCAAACTCAAGAAACTGAAACAACCCAGATACCGTATTGAAATTCCAATCATTGATGACTCACCATTTTCCCTCTCTCAACTTGCTTTGGATGTGTTTAAGGACCTTCCCGTTAGAAGAAAAGGTTCATCAGTCAAAATCTTAATTCTTTGGCCTAATGTTGCCTTAACAGAAGCTGCTGCAAAACTCTTTGAGTCACATTCTTTAAAACAAGTTGAACATGTTGACTTATCTTCAATTTCTAATGAGAATATCAGAGTCTTGAGTTCTGCTGATGTGGCAATATTTTTGGCGGCAGAGGAGTCACAACTGGCTGTTATAAGGACAGTTTCTGACAGTTTTTATCCAAAGCCAGTGGTGATTTTCAATCCCAGATGGGCATTTGAAGAGGAGGATGATTTTGGTGATTTGACTGGTTTTGTGGGTTCTTTTGATGTGATATATTCATTTATGGGATTGGAAGTTAAGGGTATTTTGAGTAAAAGAAAAGGAGTTATTTTTAAATGTGTAAGAGATGGGGTTTTGAGTGGTGAAAGGTGGAATGTTCTTGTTGAAGAGGAAGGAGAATTGAAGGTGGTTTCCAAGTTTAAAGTGCGCCCATCGATTGGTGAAGTTGAGACTGTTTTGTATAATTTGATGGCTATCAACTCCCCCATCACAAAATCTGCCAAGTTTTTGAAAGATTTGGTGTCAAATGTAACCGGGAAAAAGTAAGTTTAGTTGTATACTTTTGGTCAAATTTTTCGCTTAAAAAATGAGGACTTTGTGATTCTATTTCTTGAGTTGCGTCAATGAATGTGATTGAATGCTAATCTCTTGCTTAGTTAGTAAGTTTAACTTGTGCTGCATTGAAACTTTTAGAAGTTAGGTAAGATCTGAAATTTAGACTGTTCCTATTATCTTCTATGCTGCACTATTTTTGTTGGTGACATTAGTGATGGGGCTCAATAGGGTGAATTCTGCATTTTTTTTTTTTTTTTTTTTTGGTACACAGGATGAATGTAAATTTTATTCGGTTTTAGACTTCTTGAGTTGCTGAAATTGTGAGAGAAATCTGGTTTCAGTTTTCATATTTGTTGATGGGAAATAATGTAAGTTAGATTCGAAATAACGAGGAAATTAGGATTTTTCAAGAGAATAATCCTTGCTTAATAGACAGAAAAGGTGATTCCAAGAAGATGCCTAACGAAACGTTTGATTTTGTCAAGCCATTTTAGTAGTCAAAATTAGATGTAAACCAAGAAGATGATGTGAGGCTGTAATCAGAGAGAGGGAGAAGAAACCACTTTTTTGACATGGACTGCTGAATTGGATTATTAACTAAAATGAGTTGATGAAAGTACTGAGAAATTTAACAAGGTTATATAATTTTCTATTTTCTGGTTGAAGTGTTAGTTAATTTAAACATATCAAGTGGTTGAGCTTGCACTTTCAGCTTAAATTGTGAGCAATGCATTGTTCTTCATTGGTGAAAAGATGCATAAAGATAAGGATGTTGGTGTTGACCATAGAATCTGATGTTATATATGACCAATATGACCTACTTATCACTTTCTTCGAATTGTGATCTTTGCTTGTTATCTGGACTAAAGAAATTAATGTTTACAAAATACTCTCCCAAAATGTCCACATCTAAATAGGTTGCTTATGGAAAGTTCTGCCTTCAAACTCTGAAGTCCTGTTTGGTTCGGCTTTCTTCATTTCATTGTTTGATAGAATGCAACATTATTATTATTTTTATTATTTCCCTTTGAAAAAACAGGAGGTAATCCAAATTTCATTGACCCATTACAAGTTTTGAGTTGAAGCCGAAGTCTTGATTCTGGAACTGTGAACAAAACTGATGTGCACTGCACTGGTTCTGTATTTGAGCAAACTTGTAGTAAAGATATCTGATTTGAGCTTGTATTCTAGTCAAGCTCTTAAGAATCAGTCACATGTTTATGTATGATAGAAATCTACAACATATAAGATAAATACTAATGGTATAAAATCTTTGAAATGCTATTTTGTGTGGAATATTTAACAAAAGGAAGAAGAGATCCAGAAAACAAAAAGCCTGGTGCTGTTTTGATTTTACATTCTGTATTGGCGGCCTCGATTAGGGAAGAATTCTCTCCTTTTATCTCTTTTCCCTTTTATCTCATATACAAATACATTTTTCATCATTAATATGGTCAACAAATTCTCTCAAAATTCAACTTAATATGCCCTGATATGACAGCTTTTTATGAACTTATCAGAAAAGTTTATATACTTAGACCACAAAGGCCGAAGTTGAGGGAAGGCTATGTCTAGCCAGGGCTTCGCTCTGCCATTGAAATGGATGACACCAGCGCTCTCTGCATCGGCAAAACTAGTATTTTCCTGGTAACCCAGCCCCAGCATGTGCCAGAAAGGATCAATAACGTGGACATGACCATGAAATGCTATTAAACCTGGGGGTAATGTTCCCAGCTGCCACAAACTCAGGTCTGATTTCAGGTTCTGTATCGCGAGAAACAGAATGATGTAAGAGTTCAACATTTTGAACGAATGAATTGAATGCTATTAACTGTAATGAGATGATTCAAACATGTTTGGGTGCTTACCTCTTCTAGCCAGTGATGGTATGTCTGGCTTATGTTGGTTTTCCTCCAAGCCTCTAGATCAAATATGTTCATGCCATAAGCCCATGCACATTCATTAGGGTCAAAATTGCTTGATATTAAAGGATGGGAGAAATTCAGATAGCTTTTTAACTTCTTTGACATAACAAACTTATCTTCCCCTCTACATGTCTCTACTGCACCATTAACTTTTCCATTCATATCAATGTCCCAGAGAGGAGAAAGATCAGTTTGAACCACAATGTCATCGTCAAGGAACACTACCTTGTTGAGGCTTGGAAACAACTGTAAACAAAATGCATTCAGCGCGAAATTAGTAAGATCGTTGTTGGCTTCTGGAGGGAAAGAAATGAGTATATGTTTCTTACCTCTGGTAGATGAATACGAATGTGATTCATCAAAGAGTTGTATTTAGGACTAAGTGCTTGTAGCTTTGAAGCGATGACAACAGGCTTCTCAGTATTATTTGCCACAATTGCTGATGATCCCCCTCTAAACTGCGACCGCACCCGTTGATCTTTTTCCATTGCTTCTAAAACCGGCACCTTACCCTTTGAAAACCAGTCAAAATGGTTCAATGCCTTAACCTCAATTACAGCCGGCGACAATGAGTGCAATGAGAACCAAGCCTGCATTGGATAGTAAGTTTTCCTATCTGTTATTATGTGCAGCACAATTTTCTGGGGGCGTAACGAGTTCTTCACAAGTGATGTTGCAACGACAGATGTAGCAAGCACATTGTCAGAGGCGAGGACATAGTGAAAGTAGGAGTTGTCGACGAGGGCTGGGACAAGTTCTGCCGAGGGGAGCTGGAGGCGAGCAGCTGCATTGGTGGAGTGTTCATTGGCTAACCTTAGAGCTAGGCAATGGAGCTGCTTTGGTATGCTGCTTGAGGCTACATGGCGGTATAAATATTCTTGGATTTTGGCTGTTCTAGTCCTTTGTTCCATAAGTGTAACCTGGAACAAAGCCAATATTGATTAGTCTAAATTGTGTATTTGCCTTGCTTTAACATAAATTGGAATTGCAAAATGCTGGATTTTTAACATACCATATCTCTAAGCTTGACAGCAAAGGTCTTTGCATCTGATTTGCTTTCCTTAATTTCGGCCATGAATTCTTCTAATGTCTGAGGAATATCAGATCTTTCTTGTAATGCATCTTTGCTAATGGGTTCTTCTAGTATTTGGTATATCACTT